TTACAGCTCTAGGGTCTTGTCAAACTCTGGAGAAGACCAACGACAGGAACACTGAGTAAAAACACATACCTTTGTTTTCAGCGTGGATAACAAAATATTGACAGTAGAAATCCTGTCTTCCTTTATGCCTGAGCTAAAAATGCAAGGAATAAATTCTGAAAGTAAAAGGTTCAAAGCATTAAACTCAAAAATATTTTGAACATGAGAACAGATGCGAGAACATTACTTCTTAAAATGGTACAGCACACAATGCCATTTTCTTCCCTCTTTTTTTTTTTTTTTTAAGGTTTGTCTTTTTTCAATTACACAAGTTCACAGTAGGATAACCACTTCATGACATAGGAAATTAATACCTAAAAGTAAAACAATGACAGAACCATTAAAAAAGTTCAGAAGTTTGGTTGTTTTACTTTCCTTTTCTCACATTAACTTAAATAAAAGTATGGTATGATCACAATTCTGCTAAATGTCTCTTTGCTTAGGCTTAGTTATATTTTAAATGATGGTCATCATTTTATTCACTGGTGGCAGAATTCGGGATGATCTGTTTGCTTTCTTTTCGTATTTTTGAATCCCCAAGGAATCAGCCACCACAGCTTGATGCCATATACTAATATACTGGTGATACTGGGAAGAAACATCAAGGCGATTACAATTTCACTTGCTCCATTGGTGCTCAGTGGGCACACTGACTTTCTACAAAAGCAAACTCATCCTCAAAAAAAAAAAATTGGAAAATACCAGACAAACCAAAAGAATGAAATCTGAAAGGATCCATGACTCCACTACCCAGAGGCTAACACTGTTAACATTTGGGCTGCTAGTTAACTGTTAACCTTCTGATATAGCCATATTCTGTTACATTTATCTTTTTATAAAATGGGATACTTGACAGTTTTACAACTGAGTTTATACCCAATCACACATTGTTTAAAAGGTTGATGTCAGGAAGTGTATTTCTACACCATTTTTAATAGCTGTACTCCGCCTTGTGATTAGTCCTCAGTTTGCACAATCAAGCCCTTGTTGGTGGACAGTCAGGAGTCGTCCAATTTTCAGCTAACGTGAAAAAATAGCCCCTAAGAAAACCTCTACTCACCTCCTTAATTCTTCCCTTAGGATAAATGACTAGACATGAAATGGCTGGATCAAACCTTTTTAAAGTTCTCACACAAATGGCCAAAATGCTTCGCCAAAACATGAACTGAAGTGCATCCCTGCCCCGTTAGCAGTGTCCATGAATAACCCCAAACCACTGTCCTTTAATAAAGGCCAGACAGCGGAGATGACCCAGGGGAGTTCCGCAGGACTCCTAGCCCTGGTAGGAGCTGGCCACAAGCAGGAAAGGCACACGACGAAGGGGTCTCCTCCACGGGGCTGCTTCCCCAGTGCCACATGGCTCCCCGCATGGACCAGGGCTGACGACATACAGGGTGACCAGCACCCACACCCTGTTCTTAAATGGTCCCTAGAAGTCATCTGGAGAGAGCTCAGGTCTCCCACCCTGGGGGAGGTGAGGGACGGGCTGGAGACCTGACCACACTGGGCCACACAGACACCACGCCGTTCCTCCAACAACTCCCAGACCTCCAGCAGGGACATGGAACAGCTCCCCACCTGCAGACAGGGCTCGATTCTGCGGGATCATACTGAACGACTACCATGTGCTAAGTGTGGTCTGGGCTGCCACTCTCTGTCTTACTGAAGCTCTTGATAAAATACAAGTGGCCCTAACAGCCTAAACTATGCCAAGCCTGGCTCTAGGGTGACAGCCACCAGAAGGTGGTCCAGTTGCCATTCTTTGAAGCTCTCCTCGTGATATTCTGGTAACATGTGGCAAAGCTATTGAAGGGATTAAACTTTATTTTTTTTTTATTTTTTTTAAAAGATTTTATTTATTTATTTGAGAGAGAGAATGAGATAGAGAGAGCATGAGAGGGGGGAGGGTCAGAGGGAGAAGCAGACTCCCTGCTGAGCAGGGAGCCCGATGCGGGACTCGATCCCGGGACTCCAGGATCATGACCTGAGCCGAAGGCAGTCGCTTAACCAACTGAGCCACCCAGGCGCCCTAAACTTTATTTTTTCAAACCCAATTACTAAAGGCCAGGTAGCCAGGGCTACGTATCTGTGTGGGTTCTGGAGCAGGAGTCTCTGAAGTCTGCATCCATCCTTTGTTAGGACATTGCTCAGCATTCCAGATAGCAGAGCAGGAATACCTCTGTTCATGCTGACTAGCCACCTCCAAACTGCACTGACCGAAGCTTCGCCACACATGCATCCTTCATGCTCGTGCATGCAGCGGCTGCAAAAGCTGTAGACTTTTTTCAACCTGGGAAAAATGCTTTGCGGGAGACTTTCCAAAAACCAATTGCAATCAGGCTTTGCTATGAGACAAAGGGGCGCACCTACCTTTCAACTCCAGCACTTGCGCTATCGTGCTGTCATCACTAGCGATCAGAAAGGAAAGCGCAAACTGGATGTAGGCCAGCCGGACATCGTGCACGCCCTGGGGGGTGAAGGAGACCGCGTGTCATTTGCGTATGCACACCCCGTCCCTCCCCACCGCCCGAAGCAGGGACTCCACGGCTCACGCGCCCCTCCCATCCCAGTGGCACCGAGGCCTTGGGGCTTGTGGTATCAGAAGGCTCAGAGTCTAAAACCTGCAGTCATCTTTCTGTGAGAACATGGGGTTTTTTTCTTTGCTCTTTTCCCTCCATCTTCTGCTCTTTTCTTTCTCTTTCAAGCTGTTTCTAAACACAAAAGTATGGAGCGCCTGGGTGGCTCAGTCGGTTAAGCGTCTGACTCTTGGTCTGCACTCAGGTCATGATCTCAGGGTCACACTGGGCTCTGCACTGGGCGTGGAGCCTGCTTAAGATTCTCTCCCCCCTCTGCCCCTCCCCCTTCTCCCTCTCTAAAAAAAGACAAATGTCAAGAAATGGGCCAAAAGTAAAGAAAAAAATTACCAACATGTCTCTCTGAAATACCGATTTTCATCCACTATGCTTAAAAGCGACAGCATAATGGCTCACTGCTTAATAAACACAGAAGTATGGGTAAAGTACAGTTGTGTCCCCTTCTGCCATCATACATAACCATTTGTGGTTTACGGACCACTTTGGTATAGAGCAGAGGATTCTCTGCCCATCCAGATCCCATCTGCTTCACTTGCCAGTGAAATCATACACATGTTTTTGAAAATCCAGAAAATCCAGAGCCAATGGAAAGACCAGTGCTGCTTTTGTTGACACCAAAGAGGTGATGTCTGGGTTTTATTAGGTATTATAAATTCACACCAGACACCAAAGCCCAGATGCTGCCATATTACAAACCCAGCATGGCCTTCCCGGACTGCCATCTATGGGGTCCTGCAGGATGCGGCCACGATCCAGGACAGTGGGCATCCTCAAGGAGGGCCCACCGGCTATGACCAGTCACCAACACCTCAGGGGAAGTGGTGGGGGCCATGTGATCAATTTCCCTCCCAGTAATTTTCACACCCCGGTGGCCGGTCATGTGCACGGCTCATCGGCTACACCAGCACTCCACTGCTTCAACTGTACTCTCCTCCCTACTTTAGTTATTCCAAAGATACCTTAATTTGCTGCCAAGAACTAAGTTAGTACCATGGAGAATTATTGCCCTGGATGCCTGGAAAAGATTAAGAAGTCAGCCTTCCAGATAGTTCCATTCCATTTAGTAGTGGCAGTGTGGTGGTGGTGGTGAGGAGGAGGAGGAGGGGGAGATCAATGTCATTTATTGAGCACTTACTATATGTCAGACACCAAGTCAAAGGCTGCACATCGGGGCTTCATTTACTCCTTATAACAACTTGAAGTGGAGATGCCTTCTACACCCATTTTACAGATGAGGAAAAAGAGGTTTTAAAAACTCATTCAAGGTCACACAGCTACTAAGTGAGTATGTCCTAGAATTACAAAGTACGAAATAACTGTACAAACATACTGCTGCATGTGTGACTTTATGTCTGACTTTAGAGAAGTGTTTTCTTCTCAGAGCTTCCAGGCATTTTTATTTCGCTTGTTCTCAAGATGCAAGGACCAAACTTGGAACCATTTAGGCCTCTACATGAGTATTTAATTAATTGTCTTGTTTTATTGGGTATATGTTTCTCAGGGAGAAGAGAAAGGCCACCTGACCCACGCTCTGCAACATCTGGATGGAGGCCTTGCACACTGACTGTATTCAAGGGTCTACACCTCCATCCATGCCCCACAGCAGTTCAGCAAAACCTTATCAGACCAATGCTGGTTTATTCCAAAAACACTAAGAGCTCAAAACTATCCTCCCCATTCTGGGGACTACTCTGCAGACTTCCTCACAATATGGAATTTGGGTACAATGGTCACTAAAGTCTTGAAAATGAGCTGCATTTCCTCAGAGTACCAGCAATGTTTCAGTGCCTTTAAAACTCACCAATTCAATCTTGTTCAAACACCAATTATAGTCAAGATGCCATAATCTCAGGCCCAGGGAGGACACAAAGATGACTAAGATGTTGTCCCTGTCCTCAGGAAGCTTAAAGTAACCACTGCTCCCATGCTATGTAGATGCCTTCTCATTGAAAGAAACATGTCAACTAATTCAAGCAGTTAACTTGTTATCCTGATCTACGTATGCCTCGTGTTTCAAAAGAATGCTGGTACATTGCCAAAACTTGCCTGGTAAGACTAAATTAGGTTCTGTGCTTTGCTAGCTAGTTAGAAAGACTCTACGTACAGTTTTGGGGGGGGTTTGTCCACTTAAGTACTGGAATGCAGGTCCCGGTTATGTGCCATTCTAGATCTTTCCATCCTGCTTATACACAGCAGTTGGGACTAGATCCCCTCAAGGTCCCCCCAGCAACGAATCCTGAACTGATATGGAATGTAGTCCTCACCTCCTGCTATCCATCTTGTATATCGCAGCCAACCCCAGATTTCAGGTTTCCGACACTGTGAACAAACCAAGACCCCCAAGACACAGCACCCGCCCCACTCCAAGCAGCCACGGCCACACCTCCTGCTCATCCTCCTGGCCAGACAGCTCCTCACTGTCCCCTGGGCCTCCGCCCTCCATCTCCAGCAAGCTCCATCAAAGGCAAGAGGGTCACATGCCTACTCCTCATTCCTACCCTGTGACTTCACAGTGCTATAATCCTAGGAAGAAAGCATCCTGAACTCTTTATGGCTTGTTCTGCAAAACACGGTCTAAAATAGACCAAAACATATTTAGTGAAACTGCTTTTTGGCAAACGATATGAACAGTGCTTTCTTTGGCTGGACGAAAGAGAACCATAATCCTCTCTCTTTATGAGGCTTTAACAATTCCCTCCAAAATGTTAAAACACACTTATTAAAAAAAAATAGATCTAGATATCCATCAGCTTCAATAACTAAATGGCATGAAAAAAAAGGTGGGGGGGTGGTGACAGAAAACTCTAACAACATGAAGAAATTTAACAGACCCACCAAACACAATATGTAGCCCCTGTTTGGATCCTGATTTGAACCATAAAGTGTAAAGACACTTCAGAGATAGTGGGAAAACCTTGAGACCAAACTGTGCATCGGTGATATTAAGAGTTATGAACAATATCATGTGCAGGGATGGTACTGTGGTTCTGTGTTTTACAAGGTCGCTTTCTGTTAGAGGTACACACTGAAATATGCATAAGGGAATATGGTTCACATGTGGGATCCGCTATACTCGATTGCCCCCAAACAAACCAAAAATGTGGCAGAGGGGACCATGTCTGCAGCTGGAGGACAGGTTCTCTGTGCTGCTATTTTTTAATGTCCCTAACGTTCCTGTATGGGAAAAAAATTTAATGCCTAAAAATCATTTCCCACAACAAAATATTTGAGGTACACCATAAAGTAAAAACACTTTCGTCTTGACAACAATTCCCACTTTACAGATCAAGGAGGTGTAAAATATAACTTGCCAAGAGGACCCTGAGGTGAGCAGCGCGCACACAGCCTGCAGCCGGGGCTCAGGCAGGGGAGCCTGTGTTGGGCCTTCCCTCCTTGTCTTGGTGGGTGGTCCGGGGTCCTGACATACTTTACTTACAGGACCGAGCTGGCTGAGGTCAAGAGAGAAATGGGAAGCGAATCTGATGGATAATCACTGGCAGGCTGACTGCCAAGGAAGACCAAAGAACCATGACATTTGCCCTAGTGTGCAAACAGCACGTAAATTCTTTTTATGAGAAACACATTTAAATGTCAGCAGCCATTACCCAATGAATGGAATTTGTTGACACATTCATAGTATGTAAATAACTCACGATAATAAAGAAGAGTATCCATGAGACAGTAAGACCTGGAATTTTTTCCTCAGAAGAACACCTTATTTGTCGTGCCAGGAAAACCCTCAACACTGGGCCAACCTCACAGAGCCAGAAAAGTTACCTGGTAATACTGTGATTAACCTCCAGTCTATTACCTGCCAGTGTGGAAACTCATGCATTTCCCTGAAGAGTGAGAGGACAGGGTGCAGGAGTAAATTATGCTCCCGTGCTCCTCCACCTCGGCAGACAGGTTGGTTAACTGTCCGTGTGCTGTTTGTGCTCGGGAAGGGGGCGTGGAGAAGGCAGCCCCGGCTGCTCCCGGCACGGCAGCGCCAGCAGGGAAGCCTGAGACAACCTACAGGTGGCCCACGGCACCTCTCTCCAGCTTCCGAGTCCTCCAACTTGTGCCTTCTTCTCAAGAACCTTTCTAAATCCAAGTGAAACTTCTAGAGCCACCCAGGAACTTTTTTTTAGTAACAGCTCTCCTGAAAACCATTCACACTTCCATTCTCTTTGGTACAATCCAGCACCTACTCATGACAAGACTTACTGATGGGAGACACGGGACACATTAAAAAGCCATAAATGGGGGCACCTGGGTGGCTCAGTCGTTAAGCGTCTATCTTTGGCTCAGGTCATGATCCCAGGATTCTGGGATCAAGCCCATCGGGCTCCCTGCTCCGTGGGAAGCCTGCTTCTCCCTCTCCCACTCTCCCTGCTTGTGTTCCCTCTCTTGCTGTGTCTCTCTCTGTCAAATAAATAAATAAAATCTTAAAAAAAAAAAAGCCATAAATGTCCTCTTTGATGATGTCACTGGTTTAAACTTCCAAAGGTTTTCTCCAAAGTGGACAGAATAGGAATAGGACTGGGATGCCCCACAGGGTCCACGCCACAAGGCACATAGAGATTATTTCCTTTACTCCGCGAAGACGCTCACAGGCCAAGCGCTGCAATGCTGGGCCCCCAGAGAAACTGTCCTCAGATGTCCGTTGTTCAGGCTCTGCCACGCGTTTCCGCACACACTGGCCTTCTACTTCACCCACGTGAGCACCAAGGCCAGAGAAAGGACAACAAACAAACCACTATGGCCCTCCAAGGGAAAGGAAATACACAGGAAGTACGAAATGCTCAGAGCTCCTCACCTTGGAATCCCTCTTGGTCGCCAGGGTGTACAAGGTCTTTTTATTCAAATCAAAATGGCTGTAGACGTCCCTGGCGGCCTCAGGACCCTGGGTCACCATGGCGGCCATCAGGTTCAGACAGGCTCGGGCCATCCTGCACAAGGACGAGAAAATCAGGCATGTCAGGAACAGCTGAAGCACAGAGCCAGCTGCACTCCTGGTTGTGTAGTCTGCTATCCCCCAGCCAGAAAAAGGAAGGAAAGAGACATGCAGACATACTTTAAAACAAAAACAAAAAAACACAACTTAACAAAATCTCCAAATAAAGCTTAAAAACTGAGTCTGAAAAGGCTCCAAGAATACAAAATATGATACAAAGAGGATGGCAGTTTCTCTCTCCAGTAAATTGCCCTGTACCCGGGGGACCCGCAGCTCATCCCCCACAGAGGCAGGGTGCAGGGGAAGACTTCTGCACAGTGTGCATCTCCAGGAGCAAGCTCTTAGCTGCCTTTCCTTTCCACAGCCACCCGGAATCTGTGGTTTACTGCGCACCCACCACACTCCAGGCACCATTCTAGGTGGAGGAAGACTGCACCTTCCAGAATAGTCAAGGCCCCCACCTGTGTGCACCTTGCATTCTAGCGGAGGGAAGCAGTCAGCGAACTGACATGGAATATTATGTCAAATGTCAAGCTACACAAACAGATCTACAAACAGATACTTCTGTCCACAAGCTAATGGACAGAAAGTGACAGTGGATGGGGGGTGGTGAAACAAGGCCTCCCGGGGATGACACTTCCGCGCCACGAAGTCCTGAAGCAGAGAGGGAGGGAGCGAGAGCCGATCATGAAGAGCCACTGGGGCAGAAGGACGGGCAATGGAAAGGATGTCTGCAGTCAAAGGTTCCCACGACAGTAAGAACAGCAGGGCAGGAGTGAGAAGGACGCACGGTAGGAGTCGGTGACAGCGAGGAGCTGGTCAACAGGGGTGGCAGGGGCAGAGCCACAGCCCTGATGGCCTTGGAAACCGCTCAGCTCTGCTTTGAGTGGAGGGAAGGTCAAGTGCACTCACGGACAGCTGAATGCAGACCGAGCCCACGGCTAGTCCTGCCACAGAAGGGCAACTTACCTGTAGCCCGAGGCATACAGGGACTCACAGATGAGCTTCATGTGATTATTCATTAGCTTTTTCACAATGTTGGTCCCCACAACATGAAAATGGGAAAGATCGCTTGCTGTCCGCAATAGAATAGCCTCGAAAACTTGAAATATTAATAGCATCTGCAAAGACAGAATTGAAATGCTTACAAATCGGCTCATTTGTTTTTTTCCCTCTGTACATGTTCCTTTTGTCTTAGCCACAGTCACTTTAAAACCTTCAACAGATCCTGAGCCAAAGGCAGGAAGGTGACAGCTTGGCAGGTGGCTCCGCAGACCCCAGGCTCTGGAATTAGTCTTGCTCCCATAGTCCAGCTAAACAGAGACTTGCTTGGGTGCCTGGGTGGCTCAGTCGTTAAGCATCTGCCTTCGGCTCAGGTCATGATCCCAAGGTCCTGGGATCGAGCCCCGCACTGGGCTCCCTGCTCCATGGGAAGCCTGCTTCTCCCTCTCCCCCTCCCCTTGCTTATGTTCCCTCTCTCGCTGTGTTTCTGTCAAATGTATAAATAAAATCTTTAATAATAAAAATAAATAAATAAATAAATAGAGGCTTGCTTGCTTACAATTACACAAAATGAAATGAAAAATTTCTACTCATGACCAGGCCTCACTGCTTTGGGGATATTCGGGTCTACAGCCTTACAGCAATAACCCTGAGATCTCAAGAGGTTCATAAATATACCAAATTTTGAACCTCTTTGGAACCAGAAAACCACAGTCAACTCAGTATGTGTCTGCAACCACGACACGTGGTTTCTACCTATTTCCTTTTTGTTAAAACAAACCACGTCAAGGGGTGCCTGGCCAGCTCCGTCGGTAGAGCGTGCGACTCCTGATCTTGGGCTATAAGTTCGAGGCCCAGGTTGGGTTCAGAGATTACTTAAAAGCAACCCATGTCAAAACCAAGTGCATTTACTACTGCGTATGTACCCCAAAGATACAAATGTAGGGATCCGAAGGTGTACGTGCACCCCGATGTTTATAGCAGCAATGTCCACAATAGCAAACTGTGGAAAGAGCCAAGATGTCCATCAACAGATGAATGGATAAAGAAGTTGTGCTATATATATATATATATACACACACACATATATACACAAGGGAATATTATGCAGCCATCAAAAGGAATGAAATCTTGCCATCTGCAATGATGTGGAGGAACTGGAGGGAATTATGTTGAGTGAAATAAGTCAATCAGAGAAAGACATGTATCATATGATCTCACTGATATGAGGAATTCTTAATCTCAGGAAACAAACTGAGGGTTGCTGGAGTGGTGGGGGGTGGGAGGGATGGGGTGACTGGGTGATAGACACTGGGGAGGGTATGTGCTCTGGTAAGCGCTGTGAATTGTGCAAGACTGTTGAATCTAAGATCTGTACCTCTAAAACAAATAATGCAATATATGTTAAGAAAAAAAAAAAAAGATAGCAGGAGGGGAAGAATGAAGGGGATGAAATCGGAGGGGGAGACGAACCATGAGAGACGATGGACTCTGAAAAACAAACTGAGGGTTCTAGAGGGGAGGGGGGTGGGAGGATGGGTTAGCCTGGTGATGGGTATTGAAGAGGGCACATTCTGCATGGAGCACTGGGTGTTATGCACAAACAATGAATCATGGAACACTACATCTAAAACTAATGATGTAATGCATGGGGATTAACATAACAATAAAAAAATAAAAAAAAAACCACAAGTGCATTTAGATTAAGAATCTATGATCCTTCCTTCTGGTATCATTCACTAATATGAAGTTAGCGCTTTCTACTAAAATGCTTTAAAAAGTCGTGGCGCAAAACAATGTATTCCTACAGCATAGGCACAAAGCATCGTCTTCTCTAGAAAGCTGGTAATGTCCTGGAGATTTCCATCACATTTCTCTCCATCAAGCTCAACACAATAGTGGCATATAAACTTTTTCTCCTCTTCAGCAAGCCAGGTAAGGAGTAACATACTTCACTATCGGGTCGCTTCTCCCCACTCAGGAGCTGGAAAATCTCGGCACACTCCACAGAAATCTTTATGTACCCTTCCACAACATCATACACGTCTTCTTGAGGTAGCTTCTTGGCAACAGTGACAAACGCTTCCAAGGCTGAAATAAGAGTAATGTTCAATTGTTAACAAGGACCATCTCCTGAGCAACAATCGGTTGATACTGATACAAACCACAGTGATAGAGGTGGATCTCTGGCAGGAGCATCCACGTGACTGGAACTGCCACTTACTGAGAGGGAGAACACAGCAGCAATGTGGAGAAAGGGACATTGAGGGTTCTGACACGGCCCTTTCTCTATCTCCAGTGAGGGGGCGGGCAATAACTTTCAAAGCAACTGCTTTAGAACCCAACCCTTCTTGATGCAGTGATCCTCCGTGAAGCTGCCATCGATCCACTCCTAGGCACCCTTTGGGTCTAGAAAACATGGCATATCTAGATCTCTATATAGGTCTATATACAATGGAATATTACTCGACCTGAAAAGGGGGAAATCCTGCTTTTTGCAACATGTATGGACCTTTGAGGGCACTGAGCAAAATAAGACAGGGAAAGACAAATACTGTATGTTCTACTTACATGAGGAACCTAAAAGAGCCAAACTCATAGAAAAAGAGAGCAGAATGGTAGTTGCCAGCAGCTAGGGGGGGTGGGGGAAATGGGGAAATGTTGGTCAAAAGGTACAAACTTCCAGCTATAAGATGAGTAGGTTCTGGGGGGCCTGGCTGGCTCAGTAGGTAGAGTATGTGACTCTTCATCTCAGGGTCGTGGGTTTGAGCCTCACACTGCGGGTAGAGATTACTTTAAAAAATAAGATGAGTAAGTTCTGGGGATCTAATATACAGCATGGTGACTATAATTAACAGTACTGTATTATATACTTGAAAGTTATGCAGAGCATAAATCTTGAGTGCTATCACACACCAAAAATGGTAATTATATGAGGGGATGGAGGCGTTAACTAAGCTTATTGTGGTTATCACTTCACAGCATATGTGTGTCCTTATCCCACTGTACACCTTAAACTTCCATCAGTTATGTCAATAATATCTCAATAAAGGTGGGCAAAACAACACAAAAATAACAATAAGCCTTTCCTCATGCCTTGATGAAAACAAAACCTGTCAATTCCACTTCCCTGATTTTTCCGTCAGGAGATCTCATCACAGGAAGTTATGAGAACATATCAACAGGGAAAGAGAATCCAAGACAGAGATCAGATTCAAACACAAATGCAACACAACCTCATTCAAGGGATTACCGGTCACCCTCTGACTTCAGCTTTGCCACATCTTCCGACTACTTCTTCTGCACCCATCTCCTGTCAACCTGAGTTTCCTTGGGAAACCTGTTCAAATGCAGCACCCGAATGCCATGCAGCTCTCTGAGCAAAACCATGAATATGTACATGAATACGATCTTTTAAATAATTAAGC